CGTGTATCTGGTGCAGAAAGCCGACCGCTCTGTTTCCACCTTTCGCAGTTCGTTTGAAACAACTCACAGTTGTCAATACTTGCAAGATGGACTAAACGAAAGACGACAAAACAGAGTTGATTTGACTGAACGCATCAAGTTTGAGTTATCGGTAATCTTGCGAATCAACCGTCTTGATCAGTTAAAATAAAAACCGGCAAGTCCACCTTTGAAAAAATGCACTATTTTCTACAAACCGGGCTGGTTCAGAGCGGAATGATCCCGTTTCCTCTTTCAAACCGTTGTTAAGTAACTGCAATGCAAAACTGTTGGCAATAAGTGAGGCCTTGCTAATCACAGTGTAAAATCCCATTCCGTGCACCCAAAAGTTGGTATGAATATAATCCGGAATACGCCAGTGACTACAGAGAAGTTGAGTAATAATGTTAAATGTCTACACAACCACCCAACTCAGTTCAGAGTACAAAAATGTCACTGGTTTCCACATGTTTACACAATCTTTCATGGTGACACTTAAGGGAAATAAACTTCGAAGTGACATCCACGGTGCCACTGAACTTTTTCTCTTATTCGACATTCAGTATTAAGACACCCGTGGATAGAATATTTTACCGACCTCTACCTAATACCCCATGGAGCACCCAGTACAGAGTTATCATCGCTTGTGGGATCATGGATAACTGTAACTCATTCATATCCTCAACTGTCTCATTCACCAAACCGTAAATAGTTGCACAGATGTAATCAGTGTGTGTTAAGATGCGACGGGTTGAGCAATGATTTAATAAAGATAAGAACCTATGCAATGAAGCTGAGTAGCGAAGGGAGAAGCCGCAGGTAACCGATTGTTGCCATTGTCATTGTGGATTGAATGTATTAATCAGCCAAGAAATGACAGATAAAAATATGATTTTTGTTAGCTAGTAAATAGGTTCGAATTCGATCTTATTACCATTGTTAAGTATCTTGTCAGGTGTGCATTTCAATGTCAGAAATACGTAAGCAATCGCATTTGCTTCAAATGAATCGGTTTTATTCGAGAGAAACTCGGCCTCAA